GCCCGCTGCTCCCCGCAGCAGTGTACTTCGTTGATCTGCCTGTTCTGTTTCCTGCTCTGTCTCTGGTGAATCCTCTCACCCTCCGCATCTCTGGCCTGTACCCCAGTTCTGTACGAATAAATAAATAAATCTTTAAAATATATATATATCAACACTAGCAAGCCACTGCTTGTTAGATCAGCCACTGCTGCATGGAGATGACCCACATGGTGCAGCAGACCTCTCCTGTCTAGGCCACTGCTCCCCTCAGCAGTGGATTTCAGTAGATCCACCTGTTCTGCTCCCCACTCTGTCTCTGGTGAGTCCTCTTATCCCCCAAACCTCTGGCCTACACCCCAGTTCATGTATGCACAAAAAAATGTTTCTTCTGTGAGTTTACACTTCTTTTGTGCCCTAAATATACCTATCGGGGTCCTACCTAGTGACACAACAGGTTAAAGCACAGCACTACAACGCTAGTGGCAACTGCTTCAGCATCAGTTCCATCCCCAGCTCCGGAACTGACCCACAGGGCACAGCAGAACTCCCCTGACTGCCTTCTGCTCCCCTCAGCAGTGTACTTCGTCGATCTGCCTGTTCTTCTCCCCACTCTGTCTCTGGTGAATCCTCTCACCTTCCCGCACTTCTGGCCTGCACCCCAGTTCTGTATGCATAAGTAAATAAGTTTTTTTTTAACTAAATAAATAAAATACACTTATGCAACACATATTCTTTTAAGTCGAAAAGAAAGCAATGCTATAGAAGACTCTGGACCCTGTGAACCCCATTGGTCTTGCCCTGGGGATGTTGGTCTCCCCTACCCTTTACTCTCTCCTAAACCTGAATATTTGCTCATACTTACCTGTGGTGCTTCAGCAGGTGATGGTCACCTCTGCCCCACACCCTTCCTCTTGGATATCCAGACGGCATGGTGTAGGGGCCCTGCTGAGACATAGCCACGCCTGAGGGGTCGTGAGATAGCTGGATGTTCTCGGGAAAACTGAGTATTGTTGCAAAGAGGCCAGGTGAGTGCCTGGGACATTTTCTTAAAAGGGTGGACAGGGCAGCCCAAGCAGGACCAGGAAACCCCATACACCACTAGGACGCCTCTGCCCTCACCCGGTAGCATCTTCCCCAGCAGAGTTCCAACCCATAATCATCCGCTCAGTCAATGACGAAGGGTCAAAGACCCAAAGCCCTCCCCGCCTCCCCTGGCAGGTGCCCACCTGACCTTTCAGCTCTGGATGATCGCTGTCACCGTGACCCACGGCCTGCAGCTGCGCACACAGCATCCAGAGCAGCAACTGGCAGTTTGCACAGAAAGCCCAGAACTGCTCAGGGGGTGGGGTCACAGGCTCCAGCCACAGGAAGCTCAAGGACAAGCTAGTCTTCAAGATTCCACTTGTTCTAGCTTCCAGCGTGTTTGATATTTATTTTGAAAAGGGATGAGTCCTCGGAGAAGGGGATAGGTCTTCTATCTTTGTTGGTTTAATTAATGACTTAGTTTAATAATTTAATTGCCCAACCACATTTAGAACAGAAGGAAGGTGGACCCTCCCTGGTGGCACAACTGGTTAAGGGCAGCACTGCAAGCCAGCCTCAGCCATTCAGTGCGAGTTCGATCCCCACCACGGAGCTGACCCACATGGTGCAGCAGACCTCTCCTGTCTCGCCCGCTGCTCCCCTCAGCGGTGTCCTTAGTCTATCTGCCTGTTCTGTTCCCCACTCTGACTCTGGCAAATCCTCTCACCGCGCCCCCTCTCCCCCAGAGCCCCCAACACCTCTGGCCTGTACTCCAGTTCTATATACATAAATAAAATAAATCTTTAAAAAATAATAATAATTAACCTAGAGTCACCTTTTATCCACATGAATATCCTAGCCCCAATTACCTTTACTCAAGGTGTAACGTCTGTTGATGGTCCTTCCCTGAATCAACTACTGCATTTAGCATTCCAAAATGATGTTTTTTTAAAGTGGTCTCTGGCCTTCTTCATAGAGACGACTGCATTCATGTCTTTAAGTCCAAGGGCCTCACACTTCGTCGGGTTTCACCTGCTCTGTGTGATATTTTCCTGCGCATCCTCCAATTGTGGGGGATTTCTGCTGCTCTTTTCCTGTCTAGAGGATTTCACTTGATGCTGTGTTTCCCTTTCTTGAACGGTCTGGCCGTTCCTGCACAGGCCCCGCCCTCCCAAGCAGCTGTCCCCACCCGCCATCACAGCCACAGCTGCCACCAGCACCTACAGCTGCTGTGCGGCTCCACAGCACCCTGGAGGGATCAAGATGGCCTTGGCTTCCTTGCTACTCTTCCCATT